TAATGGCAAAGCTATCACAAGTGTTGAATTCAATTATATTTTAGCACTTAAGCCAAAAAAAAAAAAATCCTTCTCTTATTAGATGGGGGGTGGGGGGAAACGTGGGTTGTAACAGGAAATTCTCTAAACATAAATCAGGTTTTCTGGGCACAACCAGAACAGCAGAGGCAACAATAAAACCTTCCCCGGCAGTGGGAATTATTTTCAGGCCACATTTTAGATTCAGTGGTGCAGAGTCTTGGGCTTGAATTTTTTTTATTTGTAGCCCAGCTGTCAAATAAAACATTAACTAGAAAATTTGTTCTGTCAAAAAAGGGATATTCTAGTGCTTATGGTAATATTTGATATTAGTGTGTGGAGAAGTAGACTGGTATTAAAGGAAACAAAAAATAAAGACTGAGGAACACTTATGAGATTATCAGAAAATAATTTACCAAAAAGAGCAGCAGGTATTTGTATGCTGTGATTTATTTAGGAGTCGTGAACTTCAACCTTATAGCAATAACAAATACTGCTGAGGAAGCCTGCCAGCCCAGGGAGAAGTAAACTTAAAAATATAATGTTTTCCAGAGTTGGGCCCAAAGTATAAATTGTAGAGAATAAGTTAATTTGTATTAAAATATGAAACCCGTTAGATGTAACTACTTAAATGCCATCCCTTATTTCTAACTTCCCTGACACCCATTCTAAATTTGTTCTATTTCATTATTCTCACTGATTCTGCTTTGTTCTTTCTCTAAATTGCACTTACGGCTCTTTGTAATTATATACCTGTTTGTGTTTGTTTAACATCTGTCTCCGCATTAGACAATAAGTACCATGAGAGCAAGGGGCCATGTCTGTTTCTTTCACCTCTTCATACATAGTATTGTTGTCATTAACTGCTGCTGTTGTTAGTTGCCATGAAGTTGATCCCAAGTCATGGTGACCACACGTGTGCAGAGAACTATTTCATAGAGTTTTCAGGGCTGTGATCTTTCAGAAGCATATCACCAGGCCTGTCACCACGGCACCCCTGGGTGGATTTGAACCTCCAACATTTCAGTTAGTGGTCCAGTGCTCAGCTATTTGTGCCACCTGGGGATTCTAAGAAGGCTTAATCCTCGACAATTAGTAGTTGAATGAAGATTAATTGTGATAACTTTTTGAGCAAAAATTTAAAAACTAGGAAATTTTTGTTAATAACCCACAGTGGTTGAGTATACATTTTCCTAATGCTGATATACATATGGTGATGCAGTGGTTAAGTGCTCGTCTGCTAACCGAAAGGTTGGGGGTTCTAACCCACCCAGCTGTTCTACAGGACAAAGACGTGATGATACACATCGTCTACCTCCAGGACCTAGTTGTAGTTATTTCACTCATTCTCACTCCTACAACTCACTCAGTTGACAGGTTTCAAAACTTCAGTTAGCCTACCTTGGATAATTTATCTAGACAATCCAGACAGTCCTGTACTTTTTATGCTCTCAGCATTTAGGACTAGGCTAAGGTAGAAATGACAATACACTGTGATCAAAGACATAATCACACTATGGTTTATTCAGTTTCTTTCAGTAGTTACAATACACTGAACCTGCAGTTTTCTAATTATTAGTAAGAGTTCAGCTGGCTGACTTTTGCCTTGTCCTATATGAGCCCTGCCTCTAGTCTATCAGTTGCTATTGAGTCACTTGCAACTCATGCATCAGAGTTGAACTGTGCTCCGTAGGGTTCTAAATGGCTGATGTTTTGGAAGCAGGTTGCCAGGCTGTTCTTCTGAGGTGCCTTCATCATTCACCATTTTGGTTAGCAGCCAAGCACATTAACCGTTTACACTGTGCAGGGCCTCTGCCTCTAACCTAACCCCACTTCATTTCACCACTCCCAGTTATTGTCAACTCAGTTCTCACTTAGGGCAACCCCGTGCTTCAGAGGCTTTTCTTGGCTTAGTTTTTGGAAGTAGATCACCAGGCCTTTCCTCTGAGGTAGATTCAGGCTACTAAACTGTTTGTACTACCCAGGACTCCATTTCACCAAGAAACCTTTCCATTTTGTCTTTTACATAAATTAGAAATTTAAGTGAAAATTATTACATTTTTGATAATTAATTTGCTTTTTTCTTTTCCATTATATTTTCTAAAATGTCTTGAATTCATCTTACCATACTCCTAATTTAGTGACATAAGATGACTTTAAGTGATATATATAGATGTCAATTTAAAAGACTGAAAAATTTCAGAAGTAAACACTTGGAGAATTTAGCAGTAAAAACACCTGCTTTGATTGAAGTCTTTTCTCCCTCATAATCACAGGAGAAAAAAAATAAAATTGATTCATTTTGCAATTTGAGGTTTAAGTGAATCTGCATTTACAGCTCTGGTGGCACAGAACTTAAAGCATTTGGCTGCTAACAAAAAGGTTGGTCGTTCAAACTCACCAGCTGCTCCATGGGAGAAACATGAGGCAGTCTGCTTCTGTAAAGATTTGTCATTGTTATGTGCCGTTGAGTCAGACCCGACTCATAGCAACCCCTCCTTGGGTTTCTGAACTGTATCACTATAGAAGTAGATTGCCCAACCTTCCTTAGAAATCCTATGGGGCAGTTCCACTCTGTCCTGTAGGGTCACTATAAGTCAGAATAGACTCGGTAGCAATGGGTTTGGTTTGGGTTTTGGTTTAATAACTTTCAGTGTGCTACTCATGAGTGTGAAAGCTTTGTATTTGACTTTCCACCTTATTTTTATAAAGTTGTTGTTGTTGTTATGTGCCGTCAAGTCGGCCCCAACTCATAGCGACCCCTCCTTGGGTTGCCGAGGTGGTATCACTATGGAAGTAGATTGCCCAACCTTCCTTCCAAGGAGTGGCTGGTGGGTTTGAACCACCAGCCTTCTGGTTAGCAGTCAAGTGCCTTAGGCACTATGCTACCAAAGCTCCTTTTTATGAAGTAGGTTTCAGTATTTTATTTCTATATTTGCAAACTTTAACCTAATAAACCTTATTAGACTTACTAAAATTAAGAATTTAAAAAACTGCTTCCTTAGTGACATGTATTGTTATCTTGAAAGGTTAAATACATTGAGATACCAATAGTTAATTGAGACCTTAAGATTTAAAATAGGCTAAGAGTTCCTGGGTGATGCAGACAGTTAACTTAGTCAGCTGCTAACTGAAAGGTTGGAGGTTCAGGTCAACCCAGAAGCACCTCAGAAGAAAGGCCTGGCGATCTACTTCTGAAAACTCACCCGATGAATACCCTGTGGAGCACAGTTCTACTCTGACACGCACGTGGTCACCATGAGTCAGAACTGACTTGGGGGCAACTGGTAATAATGTGTTCCAAGTTAAATACATAAACTTTTTTGGGCATATTACTTTTTTTTTTTTCAGCTTAGTCATTTTTGTTGAACATTTGAATTATGTGTTTGTGATCCCACTGAAACATTAAAAAAATGAAGGAAGAAAGTCATATTGAACATTAAGGGTGGACATTTTATGACATACTCACTTGCACATTTTACTAACATTTCAAAGGAAAACGTTACCTGGAAACTATAGGGATGCAATGGAGGGGCTGCCTCAGATATTTAATTCTTTATAAAAGTTTGTGTGAATTATAAAACATCATCTCTGGTGAAACAAAGATCCTGAAAGGTCAGGATTTTACTTCTTCTGACATCTATATCTGAACAGTTCCTCATGTGTTCGAGGTCCTAGACATAATAAGTAGAGTAGGTTCCTGCCCTCCTTACTCTGAGCCCAGTAATAACCCTTAGATAAACTGCCACAATCTTGATTTCATCATCACCCCCCCTCCCCCAACGAATTTTCATCACTCATTTAAAACAAAGAAAGAATGACCTGGTTCAAATTGCAGTTACTATAAATTAGTCCTTTAATAAAAAACTCAGTTCATGAAATTCTGATTTGAAAATAAAGAAACTGTCCACAATAACTTGTATTATCTTGGTATGTTGTTGGGAGCTGTCGAGTAGATTGTTTTGACTCAGTGATCCCATGTGTGTGAGTAGAACTGCCTCATAGGATTTTCTTGACTGTAATCTTTCCTGTCTCCTGTGGAGCCACTGGGTATGTTCAGACCACTAACCTTTCAGTTAGCCGAGTGCTTTGACCATTGTACCTCCAGGGCTCCTTGTACAGATCACTTACGAAAAAAAAAAAAGAAAGAAATACATTAACCTTCACTAATTCAGAAAAAGGGTTGTATTAGTGAATTATAATTAATAAAACTAATATTATGTCTGTTCTAACTAATAACAAATGTGTCCTGGAAGAAGTGAAGCCAGAATGCTCCTTGAAAATGAGAATGGCCAAACCACGTCTCACCTACTTTGGTCATGTTGTCAGAAGGGACCATTCCCTGGAAAAGGATGTCATGCTTGGTTAAATGGAGGGTCAGTAAAAAAGGGGAAGGCCCTCAATGGGATGGATTCACACAGTGGCTGCAATGATGGGCTTAAGTATAGTAAGGCCCATGAGGCTGGCACATGACAGGACCATGTTCTGTTGTACATGAGGTTGCTATGAGTCGGAGTCAACTCGATGGCACCTAACTGCAACAACAACAATATAAGTCTGGATTATAGTGTACTTTTACATAAAGATAAATAAATTTCATTTTGTTTTGAATCATATAGAATGACTCAACAAATTGTTAAAATGGTTCCAAATAAGGATTCTCAGGGCCTGCTTTAGTCAATTGACATGATTCATTTTTAATTTGTAGTAGCCATTTATACGTTTATGTTGTCATAGTCCTCAAATAATTTTAATATATACCTTTAAAAAATGTTATTCTCACAATTCTACTGATCTTTTGTTGTTTCTAGTATTAAAGAAAACATTCAGGTTTGACCAGGGCAAATCATTATAAAATTTGAATTACCAAAATCTGAGTTAATATGACTTGATTGTCTGATAAGTTATCTGGTCACTGGATATTTGTTTCTTATGGCAATTTAAAAGAACATTTATATTTTGTATTTTGTTTTGTGTTTCAGGAAAACTAATCCAAGTGGTGTTTGGCCATTGGGATGTTGTCACTTGCCTCACCCGTTCTGAGTCATATATTGGGGGAAATTGCTACATTCTCTCAGGATCACGTGATGCAACCCTTCTGCTGTGGTACTGGAATGGAAAAAGCAGTGGGATTGGAGATAACCCAGGCAGTAAGTACAACTTATTTTATAAGTAAACTTACAAGTGTTGTATAATAATATTTTGTAGTGAAGTTATCTTTTGCATGATAGTGAACGTGAAGCAGAATTAGTGAATAATTTCTTAGCCCTAATTTAAGAAAGGTTTGCTGAGCCTTGTTATAAACATTTTGTGAACATTAAAATCTGAGCATGAAATCTCATTATTCATATTATAGATTTTTCCTGTAATCTGAAAATGTTAGTTCTTCATTGGAAATGACTGTCACCAAATAAAATAGAGGTGTTTCATTCATGAACAATAAGATATAATGTAAAAGAGCAATCACATATTATCTTGTTTATTGAATTCATATTTTAGAAAGAGCAAAATAAAAATTATAATTTCATGGAAACCAGTCTTTACAAAAATATGCTTTCATCTACATATTAAAAGATAAAACCAGTCATAAAAGGCCAATATGGAATATTCAAATTGGCTCTTGGTTTTTCAGATGGGAAATGAAAATGTTCACCAACAGCCTTAAACATCTTTATGAAACTATGCTGAAGGCAGTAAAACAAAAAATGTGTAACCATTTAAAATTGTAATTCACAGAAGGCAAAAAAGGAAGCAGCTACCATTAAAACCAATCGCACACAGCTGCAGAAAAGAAATGGCTTTAGAAAAACACATTAAGAAGTAGGAAAAAACAAAGGGACCACCTGAAAAATGAGAATTTAATTAAAATGATTATGACAACACTGAAGAGTTCTTGCAAGAATAGCTTTAGATTTTTACTTCATAAAGTAGAAGATTTTAACTGCTCTTATAAATATTTACAATTTCTTAATTTAAAGCAAGTTGCATTGTATTAGTTAAGGAAGGATCATGTTGTCCCTGCTTTACCTGAGTACAATGGTACTTCTGTCACTCAACCTGAAATTACAAAACAGTTTAAATATGTTTAGGACCATCATATTTTGATTTTTTAAAAGCTAAGCTTAATGTCTAATATGTGTATGAAAGCGAGACCTTTATTTAATCTACTTTAATGCCAATACAATTTTAAAGAAAGTATATGCAAAGTATTTTTCAAAGCTTTTTCTGCTTTATATGTATATGATGCACTTTGCTTACTGTGGTGGGTAAACAAAATTTTTATTCAATGAACCTCTAATTTATATTTCTTATTTTTATCAATACAGAGAATTCCCTACTCAAATAGAATGTGAAAAATCATTTTAAGGCTGTTATATTACATATAATATAGTCTTTGATATCAGTTCAGATTTCAGTATGTGCCTGTGTTTCCTATATCTATGCCTATATCTCTATTTTATATATAACTGCAATAAAATTTTAAAAGATTTTAATTTCAGAGATTCTGTTTTTAGCACTCTTTTGAAAAGCCCTTTCTGTTCTTTTCATATGGACTCTTACATTCTGGCCTTTCTTCCCTTCTCACCTTTTAGGATGTGTGACTACTTTCAATTTCTTTTTTACTGTTTCTTTGAACCTAGTTATTGAGATTGGCTAAATTATCTCAGGCAAACCTATACTTGACAAAGACAATCAGGTTACCATTTTGTTATTTGTCTCAAAATAATGAGGAAGAATTTGTCCTAGACACTGAGCCTTTTCTGTAAGCATAATCTTGTCTAGAAATAATGTAAGATGTTTCATGCACCTCTAGCACTCCAAACAAGAAAAAAATAGTTTTCATACTTGTCGACACAATCAAGTTCTACAGTTACACATGAGCACTACCAGTGTGTACTCTGAGAACTAGCTAAAGGCATATTAGCTATTCTTAGATGTAATTGCTGTTGCATTTCAGAAATCCAAGTTTATTTTTCAAATTAGAAATTTTCAGCTTTTTCATAGGTACAGTTATAGAGAGAGAGAGAGAGAGAGTGTGTGTGTGTGTATATATATATATATATATCTTATAAATCATCCTAGAGATAGTTTTTGCATGTCTCTTTTAAAAAATGAGTTGGTAGTACTGAGCAGATCCTGGAATTTAGAGTAAAAATAATCTTAAGTTCTAAGCCTTGCTGCGGTCCTTCTGTCTTGTCTAAAAAATGAAAGCAACGATAGTAACGGACTCATGGTGTTATCAGAAGCACAGGATGCTTTGAGCAAATAAATCACCACACAGACACCGTCTTGTTGGCATTAGAGTATATAGTATTACATTATATTTTTTTATAAAGCACTTCATCTCCACCCTCTCATTGTCTGCAGGATGCTAGACATTAACTCTTACAAATGCTGGTAATGAAAATAAATAAATAAATAACATAACATAACAGCACATCTAATAAAATTTTAGAAAACTGTAATGTATCTTGACTAAATGAAATTACCTTTCTCAAAGTAAACCTCACTTTTTCCTGGCCCTTTTGTAATGTCTGATGTCCCAATTTAATTTTGCTTTATCTTTGAAAGATGAATCTGGGAGAAAGACAAATAGGCATTTTTTTTTTTTCATATAATGAGAACTTACACACATTAGAATAGAAAAATGAACAAGGCAGCCCAAGCTTTGCAAAAGAAAATGACAAACAAAAACAAAGACATTTTTACTGTGTGTGAACTGTGTTTGAAATATTCATGCAAGCTGGTTCAGATCGTATAAGCCTCTGGCTCATTGATGGCTCCACGACGCAGCCGCTGAAGTCAGAGCTTTTCAGATGAGGGATTTTAGGTTATGCTCAGTTCTGTATTGTATCTCCTGGATACAGTGTAATTGACCTTTCTGAGGTGCTCAGGCATTTACACATACAATAGCAATATAGTCTATAAATGTAGAAAATGCCTCAACTTAAACTTTTGAATTAAGAATGCTTTTCTTTCTTTACAAAAAATAGGTATATGAAAAAAAATGCTAATGATTTTTCTGCATTTTATATGTCTCATTCAGGTATTTAGTTATTTGAGCTCAAAAATCAGGAGATCCCCACTTGTCTAGTGGTTAGGAGTTGATGCTCTCAGAAATCAGGAGAATGAGCTAGTAATTGTACTTACCTAGGCCATAAGCCTATACCTTTTTCTCTAATACTGATTATGTATGTAAATTTGATCACTTTATTATTGTTTTATCAAAATACCAGGTTATCTAATCTTCTTATCCATAATGCTTAGACAAAATCAGGCTAATTCATATTGGATAAAACCTAGTTGTAGTTTAACTTGAGACTTTTAAAAGGACACAAGTGTTCTATGAAATCTACCTAGATTGCATGGCAGAGCCTTGTTTTCTTATATAACAGATAGCTCTTCATCTTCAACTCTATTGTCTTATGATAGTTATCTGCTGTGGAATGTAATTTTCTCAATAAGAAGAAATTTTTAAATAGGATTCCATTTATGTGTGGATGTATTTTATGAAATCACCCAAGAACATTTCAGCGAACAATGTTTTCTGCATGGAGGCATGGCTTTTCTCTTTCACCTTAGTCCTGTTTGTGTTTTAGAACTGCATCTTACCCGCCAAAATGCTTTTCCTGAGATAAGTATTTTTCCTTCAAATAATGCCATCCAGACTGCACATTTCCAATACTGGGAGAAAATGTTCCCTAATGCATTCAGTTGACATTTAAATATTTTAAACTTTGAAAGAACCTTTTCATATAAACAAGATGAAAAAGTCCAAATACTTCTTACTTATTCACTATTTCTATATTGTAACAGTATATCATAAATGTGGATTTTAAAGATTAGAAGCTTATTAAGTATATTTTTAAAGTAATTTTTAAAAAGCTCCAGTTGATCAGCTTTAGAAGCAAACAGCTGCTAACTGTAAGGGTGTTTCATGGATTTGTGTGTGTAGTATTTCAATAAAGTAGTTTTCCATTCTCACATTCTGGTTTTGATTTGATTGAAAGGTGGCATTCCACCCCCTTCCCCCCCCCCGTCTTTGCAATCAGACATGGTAATCTATGTCAGCTTTTTCCTTTATGGGAATGGCGTCTCCTTTGGGGGTGGGGGGAGAAAAACAACTAAGTTTTTTCTTAACAACAAGATTCTGTTGTTTGAGAATATTTCAGCACCATTAATTAGAAAGAAGGTTTTATTAACCATAAGGCTAGCACTAACAGACCACAGAGCTGTTTTTTAAAGTACTGTATGCCATTGCTGCCCTGCTTTTTCTCTGTCTAAAACTTCATTTTGTTATACTCTCATCAATCACTTCAGTCATTACCATAAATCCTACTGTTGTTAATTTTACTAGTATCACCCTAATGAGACATTACTGCTATAATTAAAAATGAATTCTAACTTTAAGGCATTCTAAATTTTTTTTTAATGAATTTAGAGTGATCTTGCCATATGACCATAAATACCACTGATACACACATAGACTACTCATCAAGTCTATAAGAAGAGAACTGTCATAATGTGCCCAGGTGTGAATTATTTACTGGTTGCCTCTGTGCACATGTGCTTATGCATATGTATATTTTTGTGCATATATTTAGGAATTATATCCTTTTTATCATAAAGCCTAATATGCTTTACTGAGGCTACTGATAAATCCTTATTCTTTGTCTTGCCAAAATATAGGTGCATGTAATGCAAACATTATGACTCTCTGTAAGTAGGTGTCCTAGAGCACCATCTGCTGGATGTATTTGGGGACTTAATGTTGGCAATGTGAAAATTTGTATTTGATCAGACAAGTGTAGTTTGTTTTTAATTGCCTATGTTATATTTTATATGGGTCACAGATATCAAGGTATGTACATTCTGTGCTCAACTATGTGAGTTTGTAAGAAGAAATCACCTTCCTTCTTTTGCTTCACCCTGTCCTGCTTAAGAACTTTACAAGAGATATTTTGGTTAAGGAAAAAGTAAATACAATGTATTCCTAATAAAACAAAGCATCATAGTTTATCCTGAGATAAACTATCATCTTACTGATCACAGGTCTTTAGTAAACTATAGTTGGGGAAAACGGTATGGATAATATTTTGAGTTTCAGCCCTTTATGATCACTGGATTCTGAATTTGGAAACAATGC